GGAGGAGAAAGAGGGAAGCACCTTCGTGGCCTTGTCAATTGTTGTCCGGTTGGGGTCTCACAATTGAAGCCACAAAAATGCTTTCCTTCCTTGGGATAAAATATTTCTGCTCCATTTTAAATAACTAATACATTCTACAAGGAAAATTAGAAAAGCAAAGCAAAACGAGTACATTTAACATAAACTGTATTCATTAGCAGCAACACGGGTACTTTTTCATTAAAACCAACATTTTTCTTCTCTCTCCCCTTCAAGAAAGCAGAGGAGCCTAGAGGGTTTTCTCTCTTAAGGATGAGGTGGGGAACGTATCCCTTGGTGAAGGTGCAGTTTCCCGGTTCTGGGGATACAAATGAACTGCAAGTGCGTGTGAGGTAGATGTGTAGCCAAGAATGACAAAAAACTGGAATTGATGAGCGTAAAAATGACGGGAAGCTCTGAACCGGGTTTCCTCTCTCTCTCCCCACCCTCCCCACCCCCCAGGTAGCACCAACAACTTCCAAGGAGAACGGGTTTCAATGCCAGCATGGTACAGCTAGAGTTCAGGATGATGGTGCTCGCTTTCTAAAATATCAGCATGGAAGATGGACGAAAGATGTGAGGCTCATCTATTGGGTCTTGGAGGCAGCCAGCTGCTTTCTCCTCCAGTGTGGCGGGGGGCAAGGCGGGGGGAAGGTGGGTTAGGGAGAGCTGGGACAAGGAGCAGCAGCCAGGTGGAAAGGTAGGAGAAGACTCCAGCATCCTTTCCTTGAAAACTGACACAGAATGGCTGAACTAGACTGGACATTTATAAAGTGCAGGGACTGGTTTCCCCCGCTGTCAGAATGGGTCAGGGGAAATCAAGGCACAAGATAAAAAAAAAAGAGCAGCTCAGAGGTGTGGGCTCCAAGGGTCCCAGCTGCTTGTGTTCGGTCCCTGCACAAAGCATGCAGGCTTCCTATCATGGTTTAAGCAACGGATGGTTACAGATAGCAAAGCATCGTAACAGCGATCCTCCTATCCTGCAGGCAGGTGGCTGAGCGGTAGTCGTGGACTTGACTTGCAGTCTCTGTCAGGAAGCAAGGAAGTTCCTGGGGGGGTTGAGCTGACACCAGTGAGGTTGGGATAGAGCAGGAAGGCTGCCATCCAAGGTGCACTCTGCAGCCTACTGAGGATGAAAGAAGAGCCTAGCATTTCTCATCACCACCATGCTTCTCTTCCAAAGAGATACGATGGAATAAGCCGTAATGCTATCACCCCAAAGCACATGTCTAGTAAGGTTGCGCAGTGCTGTGGAGCATCTGAGAGCGTAAACAGCACCTGTCCGCAACACTTTAAATCCCTGTATCTTTTCCTGGGATAACATGCTTGCCCTCTATAGCCGCCAGGGGTTTCGGGATAAAAACACAGCTGCTTTAAAGAGTTGCAAATAGATGCTATGTCTGCACTCCAAAAGACCTGTCTGGAACCAGTTCCAGAGCATTGCACCAACCTAATGTCTAGTTTGGATGAAGGGGTTGTGAGGCAGTGGCATGGGAAGAGGAATGAGAATAGAGCTGAGGCTTAAAAGGAATCTTTGCAGGAATTAGATGGTATCCATGTCTGCACATGTACTTCTCTTCTCTTAGCTTACATTCACTCTTACATACACCCATCCCTAGCTTTAGCTCTTCTTCAACCTTACGCATAGCAGACTTCCTCCAAAACCTTTTTGTTCTCAACTTGCCCTTTTTTCTAAAAGCCTTTTTTTAGCAGTCTCTATCTTTGATTGCACACCACATACCACACACTAGCCATTGCTACTCTGTCTCAACCTCTTTTTTTACCATTGTTACAACAGTCTCGATGCCCTTGGGCAGGAGCTCCTGGACCTTTGAGGGCAATTCTACTGTAGATTCAGGTCTACTTTTGTTTCTAATATGCTGAGCGGCCACTTATATTCCTAGGGAGAAGGAGTTTGGTAGACAAGGCTGAGACTGCTTTTATTCATAGTCCAGCACCATCTTTATCCTCAAAGGCTGCCTAGCACCTGAGAGACAGAACTATCTGTTTGATAAATTCCTCCCTGCCACCACCACCCATCCAAAATCCTGTACTTTAGTTCTGCCAAATGCCACCTCCTATTCTATATTGAAGATGACCGACCGTGAGCCAGCCCAATCTCTGGTTCTAAAACACATAAACACTTTGGAAGAACCCTCTTTCAGAGTTCAGAAAAAGAAGAAAGTGGGCTGGATAATGAGGCATGAAATCTCAGGGCCATTTGTCTTCATTTAGAAATGAATACTGCAGTTTGGATAAGCTGATCTGCTGTGATGCTCTGTCCTATGGGTTCAAGATTATGCGAGCGGGATACGTGTAGACTAGACCACAAGGGTGTTGCCCCCTTGCTGGCAAGCATGCATTTAGCTAGACATGTATAGATCCATTGCACATCATCTTAAGGTACAGAGTTTTGTTTTTTTTTAATACACAGATTGCATGCCCTGGACTGGGACAAACGCTGCCAAAGGGACAGTCAACGAAAGTAATCTGTTTGCAATGCACTGAGGAAAGCTTCACGTCCTTTCTGCACTGGAACTGGTTTAGGCTGTACTAGGTACGCAGCGGCAGCTGAATGCAATGCATGGATCAGGGAAGCAACCCAGGACAGGCAGGTATGCTGAAAGAAGGGACTCTCGGTTCCAAAGCAGCACCTGATCTGGCAGCTATTTTGGTGGCCTTCGATGCAGACGTACGCTTCTGCGCACAAACGAGCATCCCACCAGTTCAGCGAGGGTCCAATTAGCATTGCACTAGAGATGGGACAGAAATATGGAGGGCAGATCTGCAAACCCACATCCCCAGCCGCCCTGAACATTTCCCCAGTCTCTGGGCACAGGGATGTTTGAGGTTTCAGTAGGGCTGTTAAACACAATGACATGCACGTTTACTTAAAAGTCAATTTCCTGAATTCATTGGGATTTCCTTCTTAGTAAGGATTGCTGTCTTAATCTTAACTAAATCTTGCTGAGCTGTATCCCGAGTTTCTTCGCATTTTTTTCTCTGAGCACCATAGAGGAGAAACAGAATTTAGGAAGCCAGGATACTCATTTCATACAAGCGGCAAAATAAACCAGGTAGCAAGTTAACCATAACTTCCCTGATCTTCCAAACTATCTCAGATGCAAAGACAATTCCCCGTAGTGCACAGCATAGAGCTACGGGAGAGTGGCCTTTGGCGTGCTGCTCCGTTTTAGAGTTTGAAGGCAAGGCAAAGCCAAGTCTGAGTGTTGACTGTGGGCTTAGGAAGTTTTTGTTATCTGGTTTAAAGCCCTTATGTCAGGATTTGCTAATTTCAATACTGTTCCTACGGTTTTAGAAAATGGTGCCCCCAAGTTTAATGATTACATCTGAATGCCTAAGCCATGACTAAGAACTGACTATTTACCAAACCGGGATGGAAAGCTAACTCATACTTTCATTATCTGCTTGAAATTTACATGAAAAGCAACATAACATGGTCAGATCTAATCCTTGGAAAGTGTTTCTCTTGTAACAAATTTCAGAATAAGAGTTTTGGGCTAGAGGACTTTTTAAGTTTATTTATTTACTTTCTGCTAAATTTAAAAATGGCCTCACTCTAAAGGCTCTATGCACACAGACTAAATTTTAATCTAGGGGTTGAATAAACCTATCATATTCTTAGTTGCCATCATCAAATGTCTAAACATCTAGCATATTTCCCATTCCAATCTAAAATAGAAAAGCGCAGGAGTACTTGGAGGTGATTAAAATTAAGTCTATTAACAAAAGCCAGGAGAATCTTAATTGTAAACGCATCAATTTCCAGGAATTGAATTTAAGGATTATGAGACCCTGTAGGCAATATCTCCCTTCTTTTATCTTTTTAAAAACCTGCATTTTGCTAACCACTTACTGTTGGATCTTGCCTGGTGGACTTGGACTAGCAGCTATGAACCCTAATCTGTTAGGAAATTTGGCAGCAGGAACCCTACCAAAACAAGAGGGGGAAGGGCTTTTCCACAGATCTCACTCGCTCTAAGGAGGCCTCCCAAGAAAACTTCACAGGACACCATTCCTCAACCTGGTGTCTTCCAGATGTGGAGCTGGGCTCTAACCCATCTGGAGTGCATGAGAAGCGGTCCTAGGGGATTAAGGAGAAAACTCAAGATATTGAGAGCATCTGCTATATCCTTTCTAAAAGCTACTCAAAAAATGGGCTGGGAGGGGCAGGAGAGTGGTTTGGTAAGGCCCAGGTGTATCCCGATGTACTCTGAGGCTGCAGCCCATGTTTGTGGCATACTTAGAACCAAATCCTCAACCAGAATCCTTTCATCGCTTGTTCTAAGCGTTTGCTCTGGGTGCAGATGTGAGGTGCTTCAAAGTGACCATGTAGTTTGGCATGCCAGCATCACAGGCAAATAAAATGCCCCGGGGGCTATAAACCCTGCACCTATCTGAGAAGTCCCTGTTCTTTTCCTAGTCCTGCAGAGACCGTGTGTTTCTCTGTCTCCAGGTCTGACCAGGCACTGGCTCTTTGCCTTCCAAATAGCCTAGGTCAGTTGGAACCAGAATCTGTTACTGTATTTTTTAATTTGCTTCTCCAACTAGTCACCCCAACCCATTTTTCAGACCTGACGTTGCAAAACATTGTTTGGCCATGGGTGAGGCCTATAGAAAATAAAATAAAATAAAATAAAATAAAATAAAATAAAAT